GAGTCAAGCACCAACACTTCTTCCCCCTCTCTGACTTCACCCCAAAATCCTAGGTCACTGGCCCAGGTATTTATTTTGGCAATGTATGATCTGATGTTCATATGACTTTGTGTGTGTGTGTGTGTTTTGAGACAGGGTCTTACTATGCAGTTCAGGCTGGCCTTGGGCTTACTTTGTAGCCCAGACTGGTCTCAAACTTGTAACAATCTCTCTACCTCAGCCTCCCAAGTGCTGGGATTACAGGCATGCACCACTATACCCAGTTTTCTTTTGGTACCAGGGATCAAACTCATGACCTCATGCTTGCACTGAGCTATATCCCCAGCCTGCATATGTTTTTATAGACTCCAAAATGATCTCCTTGACATCTGAGCAATGCTTAGCTCAATAATATAAGTTGATGAGAGGATGCCCTGCCCCGATCCAAAAGCTGAAGTGGAATAAAGCCAGAAAGAAGAAACTTAGACAGTGAAATCTCTTCTCACTTACCAGTGGTAGGCACTCTCCTACTGAGCTACACCCCAGCCATCATCACATCTTTTGTAAAGAGATCCTGCTGAGGGCAGAATTATCTTAAATGTGTTGCATTGTAGATGCTGAGTCTTGTAAGCTGTGTGACTCTGTCCTAGTTCTACAGGTCTATCTTGCTAAAGTCAAGAAACTGTAAGTACTAAAACAGATTAAACTGCTTTTTATTCAGTTCTTGTACAGAGCAGGTATTTACTAATGTTTACTGAATGAAACCTTCCCAGTAGCTATTTAGTTATATCTTAAATTGTTGTTTTAACCAGGATAGTTTCTGATTCCAGCATTGCATCCAGTGCTGGGTACAAAGCCAGTCCTGAAAAGAGAGAGTTATTTACCAACAAGTCAGCTTCTCTTTTCTTACTCCCTGGTTTTTTCCTCTTCAAATCACTGGGCCAGCAGTGTACCAAATTTCTAGTACACTGGTTGGACTTAAGCCTAACCTAGCCATGAGGAAAGCATTCCCTACTGCCTGTTCTACCTCCTTATTCTAGAACTAGTGGGTGAGGCAAAAAGACCTAAAGTGTACCGCAGAAGGAAGGGGCAGTTTAAGAGACACACTTAGAGAGACAGCATTTATCAGCTTAGAGAGAACTGAGGGTGGGGTGTGTGGTGAAGACAGTTAAATGAATATTACATCCAAAAATTCACCAGTGAACTTGGATCATGGTTTCTACCTAAATTAGAGATAAAAATTAAGAGGAAGTATGGTTAAGATGTCCCCAACCGACACGCAAAGAAGTAGACATAATATGTGAGTTAAATTCCTTAGGAATTAACTATAAATATGAAGAGCTGCTCATTCTTTCCAGCCAGCTAGGTCACATTATTTTCTAGAAGAGACTCAAGTAAACCCTTAGGAGGATAGACTTTAGGAATGCAGAGTAAGAATCTAGGATACTGGCAGAGGACAGCATTCTGCCCCTGGCAGTGGCACCAGGGTGATTTATGAAATGGCATGAGTATCTGAGACTCAACATGAGAGGTTAAACATTTGTACAGATGGCCTAACATCAAAGCTTCCTTCAGTAGCACTAAAAAGCCATCATCTGTGAATGCCTCTAAATTCTTCTCAAACCTTTTGGGTTTGCATCCTGGTAAGGCAGTAACTTCTTCAACCATGGCGCCAGGTTTGTAAAGGAATGTGCTTTGTATTTGTAATAAAGATCTGTCTTTAAAATTTCAAAGGTAAAAACATACTCAGGTAACCAAAGATTTGGCCAGTTGGTTTCAGTTCCAATTATAGCTTTTTACAACATGTTTAGAAGAAATCTTTAAAGAAAAATAAGAAAACTTAAAAATCCATAAACACAGTTACTGCCCCCACCCCTGCACACTTTCTTTTTTTTGGTGGTGGTATTGGGAACTTTTCACTGGGCTACATTCCCAGTCTTTAAAAAAATTTTTTTTTTTTTTTTACTTTTTTTTTTTTTTGTCTTTTTCCTTTTTATCAGTACAGGGTTTGAACTCACAACTGCCTGCTTGCAAGGCAGGCACTTATGCCGCTGAGCTAAATCCCCAGCCCCAAGTCTTTAAAATTTTTTTTAAAAATTTCACTGAACTTTTTACTGAGCTACACTCCCAGTCTTTAATTTTTTTTTTAAATTTTGAGACAAGGTCTTGCTAAGTCACTAAGTCACTAAACTTTAATCCTCCTGCCTCAGTCTCCCAGAATGCTGGGATTACAGGTATACACCATCACACCTGGCTCACAATTACCCTCTTGAGAAATAAGATACGAAATACTTTCCTTTGACCGTGTTAACCTTTACTGGTCAAAGAAAAATAATGTTGGACATAATTGATACAAGAAAGAGTCTAGTGAGAAGCATCTACAGAGAAGCTTGAGCATGGGATGAGGCGGAGACAAAGGAAAAGGAAAGCTGGAATGAAGGGCTGATTTAGTACCAGGTGGTTCAGATTTACGACAGCCCTTGAGGGAGAGTTATCACCCCACCTGCCCCCTTTCTTACCTAATATGAAAAGTAAAGCTGAAAGTAATGGGCTCATGGGCAGGGGATTTTGCTCAGTGGCATAAAGCGCTTGCCTGGCAAGCATGAGATCGTGAGTTCGATCCCCGGTACCAAAAACAAAAAAACCCAAACTAATGGGCTCTTGCAATGGTACACAGATCTGGATGAGAACCTGAAACTGGGCTGGGTTTAGCTCAGTGGCGTAAGGGTCTGCCTGGCAAGCATGAGGTCATGAGTCTGATCCTCGGTACCCCACCTTCCTAAAAAAAGAACCTGAGACTGTCTTCAGTATCCTTGTGCTATTTACTACTCTGAGCTCATTTCAAGACACTGACTAGTTATCATGTCAGGATACGAGCTGGTCAGTAAAGAAGAAGGCAACTTTAAAATGTACAAGGGCTTGTTTTAGATGCTTCTCTGATGCTACTTAACTCAGCCCACAGTAAAACACACGTAGCCTAAATCAAAAGCTCAAAGTAACTCTCCACAATGGCTAAGAAGCACAGTGCTAGTCTCATTTTGTTTCTGACAATTATTAAGGAAGAAGCCTGTGGTCTTTCCCATCTTCAACCTAATGCGATTTCTTGTATTATTAAAAAAAAAGTCAAGATGGGCTGGGGATTTAGCTCAGTGGCATAAGCGCCTGCCTGGCAAGCATGAGGCCATGACTTAGATCCACAGTACCAAAAAAAAAAAAAAAAAAAAAAAAAAAAAAAAGCACAAAAAGTTCTAGGCTAAACCATTTCTCTTTGTGACTTTGGAGCTGAAACTTCTTTACGGACTTCCTTTCCAACAAGGATATAGTCTCTGAAGATGTACTGCACATCTTGACAGTAGACCGTGTGGCAGACCTTATACCCATTTGCCTGTACCTAATTCACTACACACATTCACTTAGATACAAAGGTCATCTGACAAAAATTTTTAATTCTGTTTCATCATGATATGCACAAAACAGTCTTTTAGCCTCACCAAGTTTTGAAATATCATTTTCTTTCTTTTTTTTTTTTTTTATCTTTTTGAGACAAGGTTTCAGGATGTACACCCTGTTCTTAAACTCAGTTCAGCCTGTTCTTAAACTCACTCTGTAACCCAGGCTGCTCTTGGACTCTCATTGCTCCTCCTTGCCTCGGCCTCTCAAGTGCTGGGATCACAGCAGTATGCCACCATGTCGGCCTGAAATACCTTTTTATGTCACAGCAGGTGTCCTTTTAAATTATGTTTAGAGACACTATGCCATGATATTAATCTATGGAATATTAATCTATGTTTTTCTTTATATTTTATAATATGCTTTTTAAAGTTCTTTATATTATTTTTGAAAATTAGAAAGTTGGGTTTTTTTGTTTCTGTGTTTGAGGCAGTCTCATTATGTTGCTCAGGCCTCAAGCTTGTGATCCTCCTGCCTCTCAGCCTTCCAAATAGCTGAGATTTCCAGGTGTATCCCTTTGTACCCAGCATATAAAAGTTTATTTTTTTTTGCTTTTTTTCCAGCGCCAGGAATCAAACTTAGGACTTTGTGCTTGCCAGGAAGATGCTGTGCTGCTGAGCTGTATCCTAGGCCCTAAAAATATTAGTTTTAGACTGTCCATTCTTATGTATTCTTAGTCTCTGAGACATTCAGAGGATAATGCTATAAATTTTTCTTTTAGTGAATCAAATAAAATTTATTACATAGTACTGTGATGGTTTAAAAAAAGAAAATATCCAAGCAGGAGTTCCTGGAATTGTTATTACTGATGCTCCCACCAGAAGAGGATGGTCTGAGATGTGTGTTACTAGTGGGGTCTGAAGGTCAGTTCCCTCCTGCACGTCCTTCTGTAAGTACAATGTCTCTCTCCCTCCTGAGGATGAATATCCTACAGGGAGGGGTTTACAAAAGCTCACCTTTTTTATAGCTGAAGACTGAAATTCCCCAGCTAGTTGATGCTATGTAAGGCTCTAGATCAGGGGTAGTGGACCCATGTTATGGGTGTTTCTGTTTCTCTTTTAAGACAAAAGATATTAATATATGAACTGAACTGAACCTCAGTGTCTAGGTTTGATTGCAGTGTTAACAATTTGTGATAAATAAATGGGTTTTGGGTTGCAGTTTGGTTACTCATCTCTAAAAGGTTCTCTTTAGACTAAAAGGACTTATAAAGTTGCTTTTGAGTGAAAATTTTTATCCGTTGAGATATTTCTCTTGTTTCAGCCATCTGAATTCCAAGGCAGCAGTGTTCCTGCCTGGGTTTCTTACTGCCTTCAGGTCTGGCTCTTTCTGGTGCTAAGTTTTCCTACATTGCTGATTATAGCAAGAGATCCACTGTTATGGGCAATGCTAGTGTTTGTGTACAACTTAAGATAATTAAAAGACAAATGCCATTTCACAAAGTACTGTAAAACATTGAGCTAATTATTAACACAAAAGAATTTTGTAAGATATTCCTTAAAGGAGAGAAGCATTGTGGCAAAATCAACTGACCAAATAATATAAAAGCATTAAAGAAAACCCTAACTTACCAAAGTGAAACTTCTGGAGCGAGAACTGCTGCTCCGGCTCTCCAAACTCCCTCCTCTGCTCAAGTCACTGAGTCGGCAGCTGGGTGACATGTCAGAGTCCATCTCCAAAGAGTCTGACTTGTGGTGATTGATAGGCATCCCCACAGACAACTCAGATGCTGGCTTGTTCACAGGAAGTGGGGTGGCAGCCAGTATCCCATCCTGAAGTAGCAGAGTACTTCTGGAGAATCAAGCACGGAAAGGCAACAGTTAGTGAACTTCGCCAGTAAAATGCTATGTTGGTCAGCTTTCTGTCACAGGGACAAAACAGCTGACACCTACAATTTGAAGGAAGAGAGGTTTATATTTGGGTATACAGTTTCAGAGGTTTTAGTTCATGGTCCACTGGCTCCAAAGCAGAAATATTATGGCAGAGGGGTGGTGGGGAGGAAAGGTGCTCACTTCATGGCAGTGGGAAAGCAGAACATAGGAGAAAAGCCAGAGAAGTAATGGCTAGGGACCAGATCTAGCCCCAGGGTCATGCCCCCATGACTCACTTCCTCTGATTTGGCCCCATCTCCTCATACCCCGTTCTGCTATGAACTTGCCAGTGGGTTAACCTATTGATGGGGTAGTGACCTCATGATCTAATTACCTTCCCTGTAGTCTCTTAGTCCAAGTTAATGATCAAGATTAAATAGCACAGATGCCTTATTCATTGAAAACAGGTCAGCCTGTGCAGTATTCATCTGCATTGACATATTCAACCATAATGGCAAAGGTAATCAGGAAACAGGAAGATAACTTGTTTAGGGGTGCTGGTTTCTGTTTCACCTTCATCTTGCTACCCATTCTAAAGATGTAGGAATAATTTTTAAGGAAGGACGGATGTGTTAGGGTGCTTTAGCATCATTTAGTGGAATGATGTTCTGCATTCTCATGCTTGCTCACACTCAGACTCCCCCAACCTCAGACACCACAAAACTGGCTCTTTCTCCAGCCCACTGCAGCTCAGAATTAAGGGAAAGGGACAAAAACTAAGTTACCAATGGACTGGACGTCTGACACCTTTAGGCTTGAGGACTTTGGACACCGGATGCTATCGCAACTTCCACATAAAAAGTAAAGGACCCTAAGTTAATAGTTATCAGGACGTTCATATCTGTTTTACTTCCAGGATCAAAGACATCAAAAGTGTTCTTTCTAAGCTCCTTAGATTCATACTTTTCTCTGATCCCTTTATAGCAGGAAATTCAGTTCAGCTCCTGAATTGAGTTCGGCAGAACATTCTAGAAGACCAAAGAAAATGAATACCTCCTGTTGATTAATATAATAGACACATGAACACCTTTAGGGGAACTCTTTAACCCTATGAAAACTTTCTTAGAAAAACCCTGCAGACATCTCTCTAAAAACATATTTCATTTTTATTTATTTATTTATTTTTGGGTCTTACTATGGGTCTTGCTATGCAGTGCAGGCTGGCCTTGAACTTGCTTATGTAGCCTAGGCTAGCCTCAACCTCATGGTGATCCTCCTGCCTCATCCTCCAAGTGCTGGGATTAAGGCATGCACTAACCATGCCTGGTTTAAAAACAGATTTTAAAAACTATTCCTCATTTCATCCCTCTTTACTTTTCAGGAGAATCAGTACCGGTCAAATGGCAGCACAAGAGCAAAGTCATAGAATCACAACATTCTGAGGATATATACTTTTTGTAAGTTATCATTATTCCAAATAGTAAAAAGAGAGAAAGACTTAAAATGTTAACTAAATGCCTAAAATGAATCTAATACATTCACTGTGGTCATATCAAATATGGTGACAGCACTGGCTAGACCAACGCCTGGCAAAAGTAGATAGAGGCAGTGCAGCTATGTCTCTGGGTCCCAGAAGAGCCAGTGTAAGGTGGGACAGGTAACATGGAAAAGACAGGCTGCTTCTTAAACTCTTCCTGATTTGCCAACTTCCACCCACTGACTCAACTTTCATAATTAATCACTCCCGGGGAAAAGAGAGGGCTATGGGACAATAAGTCTTGCCCTGCCCACACCCCAGTGAGAAGGAGCATGCAGAGAGTGCTGATTTACCCACACAGCTCTGGAGCTGGGGATCTGGCAGTGTGTGGGGACCTTCAGTGTCAACCTTTTGAGAGTACATCTTTATCCTGTGTTGTTGTAACTTTAAGAGCTGTAAAGCTATAGTATTTAGATTGCTATATATAAGTTCCTTGAAAGAATACGAGGAATCTAACCAGGATCCTCCAGAAGGTAAGAGTGGAGAGTGAGAACATAAAAATCCTGGTTTCACATCCTTTACAACCTCAGGATGTGGTTGTAATCTCTCAATGGATGGAGATTTTGTGGTTTGCTAGGAAATGAAAATACAGAACTGCACAGGAGATCCACTGCCCAGCACAGTTTTCTGAGGGATAGGGCAAGAACACGGGTGTCTTCTCTAGAAAAGGACCCAGGAGACACAGCAAGCAGGCTTGGCGGTACCCACCCCAGCTGTGCATCCATGAGGGTCATTACCACTTTAAAATATTCACTCTCCTCCTCTAATCAAAGGTTTACTCTGGGTTTTAAAAGGTGCACATTGCAAAAGCAAGACTGAGGTTAGTCCTCGAAAGTCTCATGATGAAGAAACTGACTGCTACCAAGGAAGAGAACAAGATTCACCAAGAAATCACAAATTCACACTGTAAAGGCACAAATATGAGGCACATGTGCTTTCTTTAATTCTTTTACTGTTCTTGTGTTTATTTCACATTATTTCCTAGACACATCATTTTTTAGGGGGTAAAGTCTAGTTTACTGTTTGAATAAAGAGAACAAAGTCCCAGTCTTTGTGATCCTGCGTCTGTCCAGCATGTCTGGTCAGGAGGACAGCACTCACAGGAGAGAAAGATCCCAGATGACCCACTAGGCTGTGGCAGTGAAGCAAATGGACCCTCTGATGAAAGATGAAAACTTAAACCACTACAAAATATTATGCTTTGTCCTGAAATGACTGGGCAGGAGCCAGAAGAGAAAGGTACTCTTTTCTTCATCTTCCCCGGGACATTCCAGAAGAACGCAGTATGACCTACAAAGCATGCATAAAGCCCTCCTTCCACCATGGCCAACCAACTCACTAGTCAGGTGTACAGAACAGCCCAAGTAACTATTGTGCATCTTCTCATTGTTTACCTGAAATCCCTGGGCTGCTGAATCCCAGAGCTGATCTATGCTAGATGCCGATAGGCCTAAGGACTTATGGCCTTATCACACAAAGCTCTGGAGACATCAAGGACTCCATCCTCTTCCCACCACTCACATTCACCCAGCTGCCAGCCCTCAGATTCTCCCTGTACAATGCCAGTTGTATCTACTTCCTTTCTGGTACCACTCCACAGGGCAGAACCATTTTGTCTCCTGCCTGCATTGCTACCACAACCACCTAACTGCAGCGTTGCCACAACCACCTAAGTCTTTATACTTTCACTGTATTATTCTGCTGAATTAGCATCAAAACACCATTTTCCTAGGCAACCACCTTTAATCCACTCCCAGCAATCCACTCCAGAATTGAAGTTTTATTATACTGATCAATTCTTGTTTCAATCTGAACATTCTCTTCCTTTCTAGCCTTAGCAAGCTGTTTGGTGTTTATTATTTTCCTACCTCATACCGAGCAGAGTCGGTACTTGAAACAGTCAAGAATAAATGGGAGAACTCTTCTTCATCGAGGCAATGTATCAGAAGCTCTTTGGGATTCTGACCCAGATCTACTGAGTACATTTAAGGGGCAAAGCCTGGGCATATGTGTTTATAACTAATCAACTCTAATGGAAGACAGATGTGTAACTAAGTTCAGAGCCAATGCAGGAAAAATGGGAGCGCAGAGGAGGGAGAGCTAACACTTTCTGGAGGGTTCAGAGACTTCACAGCAAACAAGAACACCTAAGCCAAGCTCTGAGAGATGGTTAAGATTTAAGGAGACCACTGTTAAATTCTGGTGGGCATCCCAAACAGAGAACAGAAAATAATGGTATTTGAATTATTTGAATAATGGAGACTGAGAGAATAATGCACTGACCTTAGCTAAGGTACAAGGCACAGAATGAATGCAGGCAGATAGAAGTACAAATGCAGAGAAGAGGTAAACTGGACCAGAGCAAAGGAGATGGAACCTTAAACTTCACCTGGAGGAGACAGGGAGCCAAGGGGGTGGGTTATACTCAAGGAATGACATGATCACACATATAGTTTAGAAATCTGAAGACCTTTAGAACAAATGATAGAAACACTATATATCAAAACCTATGGGATGGGGCTAAAATTTATGCATGTAAAATTTAGTGAACAAAGCATCTAATTTAAGTTAGGAAAAAACAAAGTAAGTGGAATAGACATAACAAAAAAAACAAGGAACATCAATGAGGCAAATAGAAAAACTTCAGCAGAGTGGGGCAGGTTCAAGGTGTACACTTCTTGATGAGGCAGAACTGACAGTCACTCAGGTCTTCCTTGTCATTATCATTCTCTCATTTCTATTCGTAGGAATTTTGTGAAGACCTGTTCCAAAGTCTAGGAAAAAACTATTTTAGCAAAGAAATGACCTTTAAAACTACATCCTGAGAAATCACAATATAATAATTTAACAGCCAAACATATTTTAGAAAATATGTTTTTCATGACCTTCAAGAACACCCCAAATCAAAGAGCTCTGCAGTGGGAACTGTTTCTGAACCACCACAGCTCATTACCATGAGTGGGCTTTTTCATACAGTTAAACAGTGGGTGAAAATAAAAGATCAGGCAACACAAAACTGTCATTGTGGGTCTGTCCTCTCATGGCTCGATAACATTTGTTCATATGAACATGCACTGAGTGACTTCTAAGTGACAGGCACTTTGCTCCGGTTTTCTCAAAGATAGGAGTCCCGTTTTTATAGTTTCAAACTATTCTGTGATAACTCCTGTTTGCATCTAAATATCTGTGTTAGGATTGAGCCCAAAGCCTTGCATATGCTAGGCAAGTGTTCTACAACTTACCCCCACACCCCAAAATGAGTTTTATAAGTTTATTAGAAAATAAAGCTATGAAGGATGCCAAGACTCTCACTTTTATCATTTCATAAGTTAAAAGGAAACTGAATACCATCTTTTTTTTTTCTTACTCAATTTAATTATGGCTTTAAACACATTTTTATACTAAATTAATCATTCCCTCTTTTCCTAAAAGTAACTTATAGACTACTTCCACAAAGACAAGGTTTTATACTAGCTACCACAATCCATCTGAGAACACTGGGCACAATTTTCTGCTCGTCTTCAACTTTACATCTGTAACGCATGGCTGTCCCCGCCTGTGCCTTGCCTCACCAAAGCTGCACATGCAGACAGAAGCCTACAAAGCTGGCCTGACAGAAGGGTAAAAGCAGTTGCTGGTCCTATATTTCACTTCTTCTAAGTATTTCTACTTTCAAAAACTTTTTAAAAAATAAAACAAATACTCAATAGAACATTTCAGCAGTAAATTGCCAGGTATTTAAATTGACTTCCTAAAACCATACCTGCTTTTGGTACCGCAAATGGCAGAGTTTTTATTTTTCCACTCTATAATGCCAAGGAACTCACCTGTAGGAATACAAGGCTTTAAACCATCTCTCTACAGTATGGCTTCATCTCACCTCTTCTACCTCACTTGCCACAAATAAACCCTTTTACCTAGCCCAGGCCACCTTAATGTCCCCCTCAACTGCTAGTGCCCATCTCTGCCTCCCCTCTGTCCTTCTCTTAGCCTTTGTAGTTCAGAAAGAATGAATCAGTAAATCCTTTCCTCTGTGATTCCAGTACCCAGCTCTGCACCTGGCTGCTTTGGGATTAGCTGTTTACATCCCACCACTTGGTAACTACAAGATGCCATTTCTGTCACTGTGATGCAACTGATCACATCAGGTTACTGCAGGTAATTCTTTTTTTCTTCAGTTAGATTACAAACTTTTTTATAGACCGAGTTCTTTGTTTAAATATAGCTACAATATTCTGGATACCACTTGTCATAAATTAATCAATATTCATGACTTAACCAAAATTTGTATTTCAAACTCTAAAGTCACTTTCCTTGAAAAAAAATTAAAGCATGATAAAAACAAACCTTTGATCTAAAAGAAAAGCTTAACAATTCTCTGCAGCACTTTCAAACTTACAAACAAAAACCACTGTTGTGATAACCATTCTTTGTCCCTCTATTATCTTTACAGTCAAATCCTTCAAATTTAAGGAAAATTAATTACATTATGAATTTCAATCAAGGGCAAATGGGAAATATAAGGGAAGTAACTTTTAACACAGCAATATAGGATATACTTAGCTTAATAACAATTTATTAAAAAGATGGGCAGTGATGCATCCCTGTAATCCCAGCTACCTGAAGGTAAAAGCAGGAAGATTGTGAAGTTGAGGTCAGCCCAGGCAACTTAGCAAGATCCAGTCTCAAACAAAATGAAACATAAAGAGGGCTGGAGGTACAGCTCAGTGTAGAGTGCCCTGGGTTTGATCCCTTGTATCATACACACACACACACACACACACACACACACACACACACACACACAGAAGCCTTCAATAGATGCACATTCCACATAATATTAACGTGTAAAAATGTTAATATGAATGTATTGTGTATCAACACAAATAATTTGTGTTAATCTCAAAATGGGCCTCCACACAAATGAACAGGTCAAATAAATTGTAATTATTCTTTAATTTGGGCTGGTTATTTTAAAAAATAAATAGTTTGAAAAGAAAAGCATATCTCCAAACATACTCTCTATACAAACCAGCAGTGTACACCAGCACTGCAGGTCAGCGAAAACCTCCCTCAAGTAGGAGCTGGCCGCTGCTGGGATACTCAGGGAGTGGAGTCTGAAAATGCTGATGCAGTCAATGGCTTAGCATCCTTTCTGTATGGTTTTGCCTTTCCTGGGTTCTTTTTGTTTTTTGGTATTGGGCACTGGAGTCTGGGCCATGATGGATATGCTTCACCCCTGGGCTCCATTATCAGCTCCTTTCTCTTTCTCTAAAGTAGGTTTTCCCTTACTTCTGAAATATAAGAAATTAGGACCTTAATTTCTAACTGGCAATTAAGGATATTAAACATAATTCAAAATTTAACAGGCTAGTAATTTTACCTCTCTGGAAACATGATGGTGTTTTCATTTAGATTTTTTAAAGTTGTTTCTGAGTAAGCTAGAAAAACAGGGATTATTTTAACTGCATTGTGAACAGCTTCAACTATTAATAGGAGGCAACAATTTAATTAATGCCATATATACCAAAGAGAAGTAACTGATTCACCCACACTTAAGCAAACAAGTTTAGCAGGGAGATTCATCTAGGTAGGCATGGTTAACAGTCTCTCAGGGACTGAATTAAGATATGAAAATAAGATTTTTCTAGAGTAAAATATCACCTGAAGATACTTTGATTGATGTCTGATCAGCTCGTACTAACAAAAAGTATGTAATGGTTCACAAGGAAGCAAACAGGAAATTATCAGCAAGAATGAAAACCTAGTGAGAAAAGTTCTATCTAATGAAACTTTTGCAAAACAGACACATTGAAAATTTTTTACTTTTAGTTCTTTTTTTTTAAAAATTGAAATTTAAACTGGTAGGGGCTGGGGATTTAGCTCAGCGGCATAAGCACCTGCCTTGCAAGCAGGCGGTCGTGAGTTCGATCCCTGGTACCGATAAAAATGAAACAGACAAAAAAAAAAAAGAAAGAAATTTAAACTGGTGTGTGATGGCACATGCCTGTAATCCAGCACTCTGGAGACTGAGGCAGGAGGATCAGTTCATTTTATAGCCTGGGGCATCACAAAAAACAAAAAAAATGGTATTTAATATAACCGCATTATTTCTAGATTTCTAAATAAATTTTTTAAAAATAGAAGAAAATTCCAGTTTAAGTTACTCTCTCTTTGTGAAAGAACTCTGTGTACTTTTTTTTAAAAATCGGTACCAGGGATCGAACTCCCGACTGCCTGCTTGCAAGGCAGGTGCTTATGCCGCTGAGCTAAATCCCCAGCCCTATTCTGTGTACTTCTATTCAGCAAATACTACTAAGTACGCACTACATGCTACACTGGTATGATCGTAAGTATTTCTTACATGGAGGTGGTTAATTACATCTTATAGGTTTACAGTGCCTTTTTGTCTGGGAAGCTTAAAATTCTTAGCTGAATTTTTCATTCATCCTCACAATGAAAATAAAAGGGACTTAGTTCATGTTCATATAGCACCTGGTTAGACCAGAAGCAGTGATCTCATTTACATATCTTATCTCAAATCCAACAGGTTTAAATGAAAACCAGGGGAAAGCAAAGCTCATACAAGACTTCCTGCTGGATCAGCTCACTGCATCCAACTTCTTACCATAAGTTTCACAACCTCTCCGCGGCCCTGCTCAGGGGCTGGAAATGAGATTTCTCCTGGGGATGGAACACACAGAAGTTCCTTCAGCTCTTCAGGCTCATCCTGTTCCTCTGGGAACTTAATAACAAATTTCTCAAATCCAGACCTTGAGGCAGAAATTCTGTACACACCCCAGTAGTAATCAGAAGGAGACTGAGGGTCCTCGGCATTTTTTTTTTTTTTTTTTTGAGACAGGGTCTCAGTATTGTAGTTCAGACTGGCCTTGAACTCAAGATGAAGCCTAGGATGGCCTGAAACTTACAATGATCTTCCTGTCTCAAACACCTGAATGTTGGGATTTATAGGCATGCACCACAATGCCCATCTCTTCTCAGTATTTTTTTAAAAATTAGCGCCAATCAAATGTTTGTTTGAAAAAAACTGGTGACTTCAAACAATAGTTCAGATATTAATATTCTGTAAATTCAAAAATTGCCTGCCAATCTCTCTGGGAAGAAAACACGGCACCATTAAGTGCAAGAGTAGAGTTTGATAATTATTGAAATAATGAAAAAAGTCAGCTGGCAGCGGAGGATCAGCCCTGTAACCTGTCCACACATTGGGAAACAAAATCAAAACCAACCTCTCCATGAAATGAGACTCAGCTAAGAAATACAAGGTTTAAATACACATTTTTTTTGTGAATTTTAAAAGTCACTGACTAAATTCTTTTTTTTTTTAAAGAAAAATTTCCATTTTTTTTTACTCTCCAAAGAAAGCCTTTGTTTCTAATATAATTAATACACTGTGTCATATTTGTAATTGGCCCAGAATTTTTAAATTTTTTTGTAATTCTTATTTTAAGGAGAATAAAACCAAGCAAAATAAAACAGAATAAAGTCAATCAAAACAAAACAGTATAAGTGACACAGGACTTCAAAATAAGATAACAGGAAATCAACAATGGTTACTATAATGCCTCTTGTTGTCTTCAAAATAGTTGCCCATATCTTTGGACACAGTAAAAATCAAACAAAACACAACAGGATAGAACCAAGAAAAACAATGAACACAATAAAAAGGACTTCAAAACATAACAATAGTAAATCCAAAAGGGCTTCTTGTTATCTTTGAAATAGCTGCCCATGCCATCAGATATTAAATTCTTAATAGAATAGTCAAAAAGAGGATGTCTAACAACTAGATGGATTCAGACATAGTTGAATCAGTTTTGTTTTGTTTTTTGGTTAATCTAGTATTTGTAGAGTTGAAACTGATAATTTGCACTGTAAAAAAGTGAAGTGTTTCTTATGGTTTTATTCATTTTGACACTTACAAGTTTTTCCACAGAAAGTATCTCTTAAGTCAAAATAGTAGTCAACAAGAAAAAAGCCCCAGGAACACAATATTTATGTCACCAACAAAGAATCTGATGCAGAAAACCTGCCTACCTTGCAGGAGCTCAATCAATAGAGTCACTGCTCATGCAGTGTATACAGAGGATGATTTATCTTTATCACACACACAACAGGGTACATACCATCTGCGACAAGATTCCCAGAGTTGCTTCTAGAGCTCTCTACCTGAGCACTACACCTTTAGAACTACTTTTGCACTCAGAACTCTTCAACATTTGACATTTTCAGTCAGGTATCTTCCCTTTGTTTGTGCCATCTCACCTTTGTATCTTTACATCTCCAACCTCTCCTCCTCACTCCTGAATATTTTGCTTGTTACTCCCTCCCTGTGCAAAAGTCTATGCCACAGTAAAGCCAGAAACCAAGATCTGCTGTTACTGCTCTACTCCTATGCCTTCCTTGGTTAGTGCCCAAAATTAAAGGCTAACCTCTTTCAGCATGACAATCAAGGACACAGGCTCAGCCTCATTTTCTCCCTTCAGTTGGTCCAGCTCCAACATTAGATTCTGCAATAGCTATTGTGACAACTCGGAAAGGAACACCCTCTGCCCTGTGTAGATTTCTTTGTTTATATCTAACCTTTTTATATCTAACTTTTTTTATGAGACTGAAACTTCTTAAAGCAGGCACCATGCCTCTTCTGAATTGTGTCTAGCATGACAACAAGCCTTCCACATCTTCATACAGGAAATACCAAATGACCATCTGGTGAGGCTGCAATGTGCCAACTATACTTGTTTATAGTCTTAGTACAGAAGAAGACTTTTCCCCACACAACATAATTCCTTTAAGTACAGTGGTGCCTCAGTTCACAAACTTAATTTGCTCCACAGTTCTGGAAAAGATGGCTACATTCTTGTTCATGAGGGAAATATAGTTACAGTCATGATGCAGAGTCTGCAAATGAGAAATTATGTCAAATGCCTCTGTTTACAACCCAAACTGTTTGGAAACAAAAGCATTTGCAAACCAAGGTACCACTATAATTTGAGCAAAATAAACTATTTTAAATACTCAGAGAACGGGGTTTGTACAGGAGAGCTATAGTGAATCATTAATTTTCTTTCTTTTTTTTTGTCTTTTTCCTTTTTATTGGTACCAGAGATCGAACTCACGACTGCCTGCTTGCAAGGCAGGCACTTTATGCCACTGAGCTAAATCCCCAGCCCCTGAATCATTAATTTTCAATCACCAGTTTCAAGGTCTAAGAAAGATCTGAAAAGTCATTTAGCTCTCAGATTTTACAGCCCAGGAAACCAAGCCCCAGAGCGTAACAGAGTCAACCCCAGGGTCACAGCTATCCAGTCATGAAATCTTAGGCAGATCCGCTCAATTCCATGGTTCTCCTCCATGACCCATTAACCTGTCAGTTTAAAAAATAAAACATAATCTGTGCACATCTGCATCTATGCCCAATGACTACTTAGGGTTTGGCACATGGCAGGTAGTCAGACAGTCTACAGATTTTGCTGAGTGAACCAATGCACACTCAGGATTGTGGATCATGAAAACAGGTAGAATATTAAATATTTCACAGTATCAGTCAACTGGCCTCCTGGAGCAACTGCCTAAAAGAGAAAGCAGAAAAAACACAAGACAACAGAGTTGAAAAGGGACATAAAATACAAACAAATCCTATAAAAATAACCTCACTATGCAAAGCAACATTTTAGTGATACAAAAATCTAGTACTAAAATTCAAGTTCTTAATAGACATTTCTCTACAGAAGACATATACACTGATTGCCCCTCTTATCTGCAGGAGATATTTTGCAAGACTCCCCAGAGAATGTATGGAACTGTGCCTAGTACCAAACCCTACATACGGTATGTTTTTTCCTAGATTTACATATCATGATAGTTTCATTTGCAAATTAGAAACAGTGAGGAATCAGTAATGACTAGTAACAACATTCTATAACAAAACTATGTGAATGTGCTTCTCACTTTCAGAATACCTTTGATTGCTCAGGGCACTCTCAAGACCATGCAGGTAAATAAAACTGAGGAAGGCAAAACTGCAGATGGGAGAAGCCAACTATACCAATAAATGGCGGGCAAGCACATGCATGGTGGTCAACAGTATCAATCATTACGGAAATGCAAGTCAAACCCACAATGAGGCAGCACTTTACACTTATTAGGAAGGCCATAATTAATATAACAACAACCAGAAAACATGAAAAATAGCCAGTGTTTGCAGGAATGTGGAGAAACTGCAACCCTCATACATTGCTGGTGAGAAGGGACAATGATGCTGAAAAAGCGGTTTGGCAGTTCCTTAAGTTGAACAGTTTCCATGTGACCCAGGATTCTACTCTTAGGTGTAGATTCAAAAGAACTGACTGGATATAGCTCAGCAGGGTAAGTGCCTGCCTGGCAAGTGTGAGGTCATGAGTTTGATCCCCAGTACCAACCCCCCCAAAAAACTGACTATAGATGTTCAAACAAAAAACTGAATATGATTTTTCACAGCAATACTATTCTCAATAGCCAAAAGTGGAAACAACTCAATGTCCATCAACTGAGACGAAAATATAAATATGTGATATATACACAAAGGGAATATCACACAACCATTAAAAAGAATAAAGAACCAATAGGGGGTACCACATGGATGAGTCTTGAAAACAACATGCTAAATGAAAGAAAAGGCCACATATTGTAAGATTCCACTGATATGAGTATCCAAAATAAGCAATTGACAGAGACTGAAAGCTGATTAGTAGTTGCTAGGGTAATGGAGGAATGTGGTGAGTGATGAATGGTTACAGGTTCCTTCCTGGGGTGATAAAAAGTTCTGGAAGTAGACAGTTATGACAGTTGGAGAACTCTGTGGATATACAGTATTTAATGTCATTGCTTTGTGCACATTAAAATGGTCAATTTTATGTTATTTTGCTCCAAGAAAAAATAAGAGTCAAGTCCCCATAGCGCTAGGTCTTTGGAAATATTTAGTATGAAGACATATGCATTCATGCCAGGCACAATTACAATTAGGCAGCCCTGTAATCCCCACAGACAGTTGGGAGGCTAAGGCAGGAGACTCACAAGTTCAAGATCAGCTTGGGTAACTTTGTGAGCCCTATCTCAAAATATGGGTATGTAGCTCAGTGGGAGAGTGCTTACCTAGGATGAGGATGGGGGTTGAGTATCAATCCCCAGCACTGCAAAACAAAACAAGCAACAAAAAGCCCAAAGATGGGCATTCCTATGGAGGTCACAGATCCCTCTCCAATAAGGCTAGCTGGTCAACCTGTACATTCTTTACCACCTCTCCTCCCTGCACAGACAATAAACTCAGCATAAACTTTTCGTAAAATACTCTTCAGTTTCAAGATTAATGCTGCTGGCCCAGCATGGAGATGAGAGCATTATTTAGGGAGGCAGCTTTGCCAGTCCTTCTCAGACACGTTGTTACCAGTGATGTCTCTATGCTGACACTACAGGTGTAGAGGGCAGTGCCTGTGTAGTCAGAGGCTTTCTGAGAGTGGCCAGCAGGCTCACTCCATGACAGGAGACTGCCACAGTCTGTCAGGGAAGAGCCCAGCCCTAGCACAGGCAGTGAGAGAGCCACCCCCACCAACACCAGAAAGCACAGTGGAAACTGAAACACAATGCTGCCCTTCACCATCAGAGGAAGGAGCTTGAGTTCTGGGATGCTCCCAGGATTCCCCTGGCACCTCCCAAACGACCTTGATGCCACTGGCAGTGGTCCCACAACACTACTGATAACAAGCAATTGCAATTGTGTTCTGCAGGCTTCCTTGTGCTTAACTTTCTTCCACCCAAGACTTTCACTTCTCTCCCTTCAGGGTTACAGGCTCCACTCTATCTCTGGAGTTATCTGAACTGATCTTCAGAATCCACACTGGGTGCCAACTACAGGCTCCTTAGGTGTTGAGAACTGTGAAACTGGGGCCAGGCATCTCTTCTTTTCGGAGCTGACAGGAAGGCTGACTTGATCTCCTTTTAGTCAGTTTGGGCCATATGGCTGTTATCTGGAAATGTTTGTATGTCCAAAGACCAGTGAGGACTCAGCACATTGTAAGTGGTCAAACAGTTCATAAACTGCTAAATGAATTAATGAACACATCACAGCTGCAGGGTTCCAGGCTCCACTCTATCTCTGCAACAAAGAGCTGCCAAGTCACACATACTCAACTTTTCTCAAGAGCATCATCACTCCTCTCTCTAGTTTCTTCTCAGTTATCACTAGTCATGGAGAAAATGTGTTACTTTTAAATTGTCAGCATCCAAAATTTTCAAAAGAGAAGTTCATATCAAGGGCTGCTTACCAAAGAATATACCCAGTCACTTATAAGTGAGTATTACTAGTCTGGACAAGAAAACATACAAGATCTCTCCATACACATGCTGTCAGGTCTGGCAAGAAAGATTTTAGACAACTTCCATCCTTCCCACCCAATCCCAAGTAAATAGGGCATTTGTTTGTATTTCCACACTGGCTGCATGAAGGAAAACACCTCCTCCACCTAAAAAAACAATCTGCAACATTCAGACATGGAACTCTGAGGGCAAAGTTTTAGTGCATACTAGAGCCCTAAGTATATACTACTTAAAAAAAATAAAAAGTTTAAAAAATTTAAAGAGTTTCTCCTGTGAGCATTTTCCTCCAGTGCACATTTACACTGGTTTGGTGTTTTATATCTTTCTGAAATAAAAATTTTTTTTTAAAAGTTCATTAAAATTAGGAGCAGATGGATTCTCCTTCCTACAATCTCTAGTGTTTTATTCTTTTTAAGGCGTAAAAAGACGCACAAAATCATTTTTCTTTACTCTCCTCAGATTTTCTGCTTTGCACCAACTAAGTTTAGGCAAAGAAAAGTTTTCTGAGGTTGGGTATTGCGGTTAGGAAAGACAAAAAAAAAAAAAAAAAAAAAAAAAATCTCAAAAGCTAGATGCTTAAATTTAGGCTCCGTAAAACAATACCGGGAAATCTCACAGCCCTGGAGGAATACTGGGGTTCACTTGCTTGGCCTTTGTCGCCACATTTTCTTCTCTTACTTGTTTAATCCCTCGCCCGGGTTTACTTGTACACACGTTCCTGCCCGATTCAATTACTTGCCGGGCCGGGGAGAGGAACACCTCCTGAACCCTTTGCGCGGGACCTCGGCTCCACAAATGCCGGGGCCACCTCCCTCCACACGAGACCCGCGTCCTTTCCGCGGCGCAGCGACCGCGGTCCCGGGTGGAGAGTCTCGCGGGGAACCAGGGCGCAGGGGGCCGCTCGGCTCCCGAAGTTCAAACTACGCCACGAACCCCTGAGCCCCACTCTTCCCGGGAAACCCGCGTCGGAACCAGCGCGCGGTGCCCAACGCCCCGACCCCGAGACCCGGGCGCACTCGGCCACTCGGGCCGCAGGTGCGCGGGGCTCTCCTGACCGTGGCGCGGAGCGCGGCACAGCCTCCCCGCCCGGCTCCCCTGGACCCCGCGCGACCAGAGCGGGAATGTCGCAGCGCGGGACCCGCCAGGGTCCGAGGAGCGCACTCACCCAGCGGGAGCCCCTCCCGGGGACAGTAGGTGCCCACGCGGACCACGGCCGGGAACCTCGCGCCACAACTCCGCGAGCCCGCGCGCCTCGCCGCCAGCCCGGCCGCCCGCCGCGCGCTCCCAGCGCCGGGACGCGGACTCCTGGACACGCGCTGCGCGCGCCCGCGCCACTTAAAGGGCCAGGCCCCGGCGTCCCGGGTGTCCCAGAGGCCGCCTCTCAGAGGTCCCCATTGGGGACAATCGCTCCCACCTCTGATCCCCGCGGATTTGCGTTTGGAGCTCGGAATGACACGAGGCTCCTCTTCCCACCCCGTCATTAGCTTTGGAGAAGTTGTATTTTGTATTTAATGGACAGTAACTACCATTCGTTGACTGTTTACATACATACATCATTTCTTTTAATTTGCAAAACAATCTTATGGCTTCTTTATTTTCCGTTTTAACCATAGTGTCTTTTTAAACCGACACATAAAAATTGTAATATTTGTGGGGTACCATCTTATGTTTGGATACATGTATATAGTGTCTAATGTTCAAATCAGGGTATGCATAGCTAGCTTTTTAAACCATTTTTTCTTTGTGGTGAAAACATTAAAACTCCCTTTTCGTAGCTTTTTTGAATCCTCTGGTTTCTTATCCTCATGTTCCAGCGGAGTAAACAGGGGTTCAGAGAGTTGAAGAAACTCCTTCGAGAGTTTTTGAACCCCTCCTTGTTATTTTCATCTCTATCACTGTGGATATATCTACTAATAAGGTTAATAAGTAGTTGTGGGAATCTTTTGTAAGTGGGTGGGAATTAACGTTAGCAGTGTTTCAGAAAGGTGGAACCAGGGAGGGAGAAAGCAAGATATAAGGGATTTTATTAATTGTAGGGTTTGCAATGTACTGGAATGGCAAACATTATAACGACCTTTATTCTAAAAATGTTTGTGTTGACTTCATTTTACAGAAAACTAAGGAAGGAAGTAGCTGGCTGCAGAGAATGACTGAGTCACTGACATCTTTCAGGGCTGAGCCCAATTCCTTAGTCTTTAGATCATTTCTTTGCCCTCCCCAGGAACAGATACCTGATTAAAGGGAAGAAAACTTTTTCTGTAATAACATATTGGCCTCACCTAACTCCCTGCATCTTTAATTAATGTTTACTAAGCACTTTAATCTACTCAACATGCTAGTTAATTAGGCAAGTATTATTATCCCCCTCTTTCTGAACCAAATCCAGGACAGAATCAGTTCCCTAATCGTTGGCGAAATGCTAAACCTAAGCTTTTTGACTGTATTTTCCCCTCTTAAATTTTTGTCCCATAGTATATTTATTATGGATGAGCTTATCATGAAGTGAATTAGTAAAGAGTAATAATAAATAATTCTTGTCTTAGGAATTCAAATTTTCATCGGAATAAAATGCACTTTGAATAAAATGTATTTGAATTGAGAATAAAATTCATTTTGGTGTTTCCCAGAATTGTTTTTCTTGTTTTATTGTTGTTCTTTTTGATTGGTTAAGCTTTTATGGGCATCTTTTCTTGTTGACAAAGAAAAAGTAAGAAAGAAGAAATATTGAAGAATGATGTAATTAGGAAGAAGGATAAAAGAAAAAGGAAAAGAGGGGGAGAGTGAATGAACAGGGATAGAAATGAGGCTCAGAAGAGAAGTTTCAACCCAGAGGTATTAGGAGAAATGAGGCCACCTCTGTTAGCACACCAACTCTTTGTGTGAATTACAATCAGGTGGTTTTTCCTGGGAGCCGATGCAGACCTAGCCAGGGACCCAGCTTAACTACTGAACACAGACTGACTCATAATCTCGATGCACACCTTGCCAAGGCACTTTTGTGAACACACAACACAAGAAAGGGATTATGTGTCAAGAAAGGACACACAGGGGCTGGGAATTTAGCTCAGTGGCATAAGCGCCTGCCTTGCAAGCACCCAGTCCTGAGTTCAATCCCGGATACCCCCCCAAAAAACAAACCAAAATAACAACAAACAAACAAACAAAAAATACCTGAAAGAAAGGACCTCACACAATGAGGTTAAAATACGAGGTTGGGGGGGGGGGATTTAAAGATAGTTATTCATAAAAGTACTTACTGCATTGGGAGGAAAAATGGAACAAAGGAACCTCTGGAGTTTTTGTATATAGTACTGAATTGCTACTGCTTTAAAACTCATGAAATACACAAACTTCAATTGGCCCAGCCCCCCCCCCCCCCCCCGCCAGTGCTGGGAATTGAATGCAGAGCTTGATACAGGCTAGACATGTTCTGCCGCAGAACTACACCCCTAGATTCCAGGTGACCACCACATGCCTTCTGAAGGTGATCTGTGCTAGGAAAATGTTGATATGTGTTATAAAATTGACACCTGGAAAGTTCCTCAAAAGAATCGCGAATGAGAGGATTGGTTCCCAGCCTGTGGTATTATTGGGAAGTGGAACCTTTGGGAGGTGGAACCTTTAAGAGGTAGAACCTAGTTGACGGAAGCTGGTGCAAGTCCTGGGGGGTGGATATTGGGACCTGGCCCCTTCCTGTCTCTTTGTGCTTCCGGGTAGGTGAGCAGGTGCTTCTGTTGTGTGCTCTCACCATGATGTCCTACCTCACCACAGGACTAGAAGCAGTGTGGCCCATGTCCTGTGGCCCGAAAGCGCCAAAAACAGTGAGCTAAGATAAAATTTCCCCGTTTAGCAGGTTTATCTCAGCTATTTGTAACAGAAAAGTGACTAACCCACTATGTGAATCCCAAATATTAGTTGTTTGTTTGAATTTTGACTAAATTAAAAATTAATTTACTTAAAATTTTTAAAGTAAGCTTTAAAAATTAAATATGTTTTTACTTTATAAGGCAGTCGTCACATGTCACATAACCACATTTCAGTCAACAGGACACGTTTGACAGTGATCTCATAAGATTGTACTGCCATAAGTTGATCTTCTAAGTTGTAGCTGCCCTACTTGGTGTAAGTACGTGCTGGATGTTCACACAGTGACAGAATCGCCTAATGACCCACTTCTGTGATGTATCAAGTTGTAAATTGTCATTTGTCATAATGACACTTGATTATTACTATGTAAAATTGACTTAGGAGACTGTAATATTTGTGGTGGCCATTAGAGGGGTGCAGACTGGTAAGGGAAGGTCATTAATAAGCAAATTTCATGTTTGTTTGTTTTTTAACTAAAAAATTGTAGCACTTTGGGGCTAAAAGAGGTGATACAAAGATGGAATTTTGATGTATGATTCTTCTACTTAGATGTGTTGTCTGAAGTCGCTTATCCTTTGTAAGCCTCAGTTCCTTATCTGTATAAGGCTATTATCACTCTGTGAGGGTAAAACAAAATTATTGTAAAGCTTTTCAGAACAAGCGTGGCACAGTGGTACATGCCCATAATCCTAGTCTTCTTGGAGACTGAGGCAAGAGACTCAAGCCCATTGCGGGCAATCTAGTCATCACCAAGACCATGTCTTAAAATATAATAAAGGGTGGGGGGTGTAGCTCAGTGTGAAGAGACTGGGGTCAATTCCAGTACTGAAAAGAAAAAAAAAAAATTTTGTCAGAAAAAATAATAGATGAGAAGAGTTGTTAAAAATTATGAAAATGAAGATAAATATGGGAATTGTCTTAGTTATATTTATAACATCTACAAGGCAAAAGGATGAAAAGATATAAGAATAGAACAGTATAACTCAGAAAACAGCAGCATGTACATTAATGTGTGATAAATCATTCCAGGTAAGTGAAAAGGGGATTTTCAATAAATAAATAAATATTCAATAAAAGGGGATATTCAATAAATAAATAAAGGTAAGCCTTTACCTTTCATCACTCGCGGAAAGAAATGCAAACTACATTAAACAGTTATAAAACAAGGAGAAAATTTAGGCAAATGTTTATGATCTCAAGATGAAAGAAGATAATTGATAAAATCAGGAAAGAACCATTAGATTAGATTACATTAAAATTTAAAAATTCTGACAACTGAAAATACAATAAATTTAAAATCTAGTGGGAGTGTATTTTGGTGCTAAAGCATTGTCTAGGATGTGAAGCTGTAGGTTCAATCCCCAGTACCTCAAAGAAAACAAGGCCAAACAAAAGCAGAACAAAAATGTAAAAGTTAAAAGAAAGCTCAAACTACAAAGCAATGTATTTCTTGCATTTTTCTTTGTCTTTTTCCTTTTTATCGGTACCAGGAATCAAACTCACGACTGCCTGCTTGCAAGGCAGATGCTTATGCCGCTGAGCTAAATCCCCAGCCCCAGCAATGTATTTCTTAATTGTCGTGTAAACCTTAGGATCATTCATTTTTCATGAAAAAATTACTTGTGGTTTGTTATGTGCCAAGTGTTACTATGGGAAGGTTCTCAGAGAACCAATCATAACCAGCAAAGGTATATTGTTAGAATAAGAATATATACAAATTGATAAGAAAACTCTTAAGAGCTCAATGGGAAATTTTTCTTAATGACTAAATGAGAATGTCCAGTAAATTTCTCTGTGTGTGATTATATTCTTTTTAATTTTGAAGATAGTAAAATACAACAAAAATGTGATTATATTCTAAAATGTTGGAATACCTAATAAATTTAAAAATGGAAAAATTTAAATGATCTACATTATTCTTACCTAATGAACTACAAAGATATCTTTAAATTCTTTTTTGGTATTTTTAAATTCTAATATACAGTACTGACATAGTGTAATGAAATAGGCAATATTATATAGTGCTACTGAGAATAAGTTGATACAACTTTATGAGAAAGTAATTTTTTGAAATATTTCAAGAGCTTAAAATGTTTATGTGCATTGACTAAAAGTCTATTTCCTGTGGAAATAATAACAATGATTCATACATAAAGATGTATAATGTCTCCTTTTATATACTATTGGAAAAATAGAAATAACCAAAATATCCAGAAGAAGGGAAAAGTTTAAGTTATTATGCAGCTATTAAAATAAAGACTTGAAAACAAGACAACAGCTAATGTGAACTTTACATTCATTTTTTATGCTGAAGTTATTTGTGGTCTGTTTGTTAAGTGTTCCTCTGGGTAGAATCTCAGAGACACAGCCATGCACAGCAGAGGTAACTTCCTACATGGAACTTATAGCTCAATAAAGG